TCCACTTTAGTTTTGTTTATTTAATAAATGTTTCGAACTTTCCTACTGACTGTCTCTCCTTGAATACTGGGTCCATCTGTCCTCGGTTCTTGAAAGATATTCTTTTAATACTCAATCTCAAAGGTTTGTTTAACCTAAGCTTGAATATTAGAGAGCAGCGAATTGGGTGAAATAGTAGCTGTAAATGCCCTAAATTGGCTGCACTTCATTAAAGTGCAGCAAATTGAGAAAATCCTGCAAACACAAAAATAACATTACACACAAAAAGCAAAAAAAACAAAAAAACATCAGCAAGCGGAAATGCTGCAGAGGGGATATTCAACAATCACAAAAAATACAGTGCAACAAACACATTGTAAATATACAATATGCTGCAAACCATGTTAATGCAAATGCTCTTAAAACATGAGCAAATACAACCTGCTGTGAATGACAAAAAAAAAAGTTAGGAAAATCTGCAAACTATGGCAGCATAGGTGAAGTTCTCCAGACCACTAGAGGGAAACAATTATTAACTCATATGGGACCAGATCCTTTGTAAAGAAGTAGATGGGATGCTCCAGAAGAGGCCTGATTTTTCAGGTTTGTGTACCAAACAATGAATTCAAACATGCTTGTATGCTCAGATCACATGCAAAAGCAAATTTTCCAAATCAAAAGCTTAACTTCAACTGCAGTTTTTGTCATTTTTTGTACTTACGAAAATCAGTTGCAAACTGAAAAAGAAAAATATTTGAAGTTGTTGCAATACAGGAGGCAACAGAACAACAGTGGAGAAAAATAATAAATCAAATAAGAAAATAAATTAATAAATAATGCAGCGGGATGGTAAACTTTATTGATACAATTAGATCAACTTGACAAAAATGACAGAACTTTAATTTTATGGCATGACTATAAAAATTTTATATAAAAAAAGTGTAACAAATTTGTAAATTTAGCTCTTCTTATTTTCAATCTTTTAAAATAACCCCTGAAAAGATCTGTTTTTGCAACAGATTGGGTTGAGAGCCATTAATAATGTAATGTCATTGGTCTGTTTTGTGTTAGTTTAATCTTTGTACAGTCATGCGGTATTTATTTTTTTATCGCGTTTCCACCCCTGAGCCACCATACCCCCTCTTCAAATATGTTCCTTTAGAAGTCGCACCTTTGGGTTGAATATTCTTCTTGAAATAATTGGTACAGTTCAATTAACCAAGTGATTTTCTGCCATGGATCCTGCTCTTAATCACAGTCCACACATTTTAAAGGCAAGGAGTCCTTAAATGGCATTCACACCAGTAGAGGTGAAAGCAAGTGGAGTGCTCCCGTGACGCTGATGGAAGCTGACACTCAGAATTAGGAGAGGATCAAGAGACACCTCTTACTTAAGGAAGCTGTTCCTCCTGGCTGGAAAACTTTGATTTAATGTAATGGACTCCTCATCTAGAGAATAAAAGGGGAAAAATGCACTGTGAATTATTGGCCTCAGATAGGGTTGTAAAGTCAAGATGAGAAGATATTGCTTGTTTGTGTGTTTTCTAAAGAAGTGGGGTCTGAAAATGTTCACGTATTTCCTCAAGCAGCTTGGAACAATGCTTTCTCCTATTCTCTGATGTTTGCCGAGTTGTTTGGACCGCGTAACAACAGCGTAATTAACATCCCAGGGGTGTAAATAGCAACTAAATTATTACTAATTCTATGCAGAGAGGTACAAAATTGCCTCCTTTTTTCAGAGGCTTGTTAGCAAGAAAGCACCACACACAGACTCACACATTCATCCTGTAAACACTGTGCACAGGGGGAACAAATGCAAACACACACACGCACCTACTTCTTAATCTCCCAGCACCATGAACCCAATGAGGGGCTGAGTTATGGAGCGCGAGGAGGACTTGGCTTGGCATCAGAGGGAGGCTACCTCGCCACTCGTTTGGATGTTAATTAGTTTGGCCTGTTTGCATTTTTATTTATCTGGTGCAGCATGTTAGAGCTGATAATCTATGCACACTGATATCAGCAGAATAAAATCTGAGCTTAGATTGAAGCTGGCCAGTGGAGCCACTTCTTTTCTTACATTATTCATCAAGCACAAGCTGCAAGCAGTGTTTAAAAGTCACTTCACCCAGCCATTTATCAGATCTGTTATGTTTTAGGGATTCATACCCATATCCAAAGATATCCACCACCTAAAAAAAAGACTTCATTGATTTTTGCATATTTGTTCATATTTCCTCACAAAAAAAAAATTTATTACAAGATTTTATATTACAGACAACATCGGTTTAAGGTTCTGAATTTTTACAACATATTCTCATTATCAGTTCGTATGAAATCGTACGAAAAGTTATGCACAGAATTTCGTACGTTTTTGACATTTTTCCTCGAAAAAACAGATTAGTGCGCATGCGCAGCCAGACAGACGAAAAAAGCAGATCCGCGGATGGATGTAAAACTGGGAAAAACAGTGCAATAATTACTTCTTGAAGTCTCTCACTAGGTTGCTTGCTGTTTTGTATCTTAGGGTTAGGGTCAGGGTTAATTGTATGTTAAATTCTATGTTATTGAATGGTGCGTAAGATGCGCATGCGCAAGGATATCTTGTCTCGAGGCAAGACGTAAAAATATGACGAAATAAGACGAAAAAAACGTCAAAAACGTACAAAATACTGTGGATAACTTTTTGTACGATTTCATACGAACTGATAATGAGAATATACTGATTTTTACCAACAGAAGTTTGATAAGAGTGGTGGTCCAGCCCTCTTTTACACTGTCATTCATGTAAAGTCCCGTCAAATCAACTATCTTTAGACTTAACCTTCACAAAATTTTTCAGTGTTTTACACTTGTATATATATATATATATATATATATATATATATATATATATATATATATATATATATACAAAGTTAAAGTTACATAGACACGTTAAATGCCTATATTTAAAAGTAAAATATAGCAAAAACCCAGGTAATTATGATAAAATAAGGCTATATGCTTGATAGTCCTTTTTGAGCCTAAATAGAACCCTAGCACCAGGTGCGATAAGCTGACCTAAACGCCATTTACTGGCAGATCTGCTGAACCACAAGAATCCGGATGGTGGCCAATGACACGGCTACTAAAGAAGTGCTGACTGTGGCAAACATTCTGTAATAACCTATGGAAAACTGACAGCTCTGAGGATAGGGCTTAAAGCATTGCTAACACTAGTAGCAATATTAGCAAGGATATGCAATCATGTGTTAATCAACATTAAAGCAACATCAGAATGCTTCCTGAGCTTTAGCTCCAGCTTTAGTGTACTCCAACAGTCAGTTCATCCAGTGCAACTCAAGTTTTATCCCTCTTGAAATCAAATATCTTCTTGCACCTTTTGAGAGATGATCTTGGAATTTATTTATTTATTTTTCGCAACTATGTTGGGAGTTCCACTCTTTCTAGCCCCTAATGCTGGTAGGGTCACATAATGTTGATATTGTACATATACAAAAAAGGCTATATATACTCATCTTTGAAGCAAAACCAAGCCTACATCTATGTTCATGTCTGCTGATCACCGTTATTTTCTGTCCCAAAAAATACCAAGTAAACACTACTAGGAGTAATGCTTGGAATAGATTGTTTGATTCAATATGAACATGTGCCTATGTATTTTTTATAGGCATAAAACTTGACTAGGCCCTTTTAAGATCAGTAAGAGTGGATGGGAAACATCTTTGAACAGCAATTTCAGTCATCCTACCCAGTCCTAATTTTATATAGGCTCAAATGTTGTTTGGTCCATTTCATTGCATTAATGTACTTTGATCATTGCAGCTCTAGCTTTATATTTTGGATTGTTGGTCTGCCGAAAGTTGAACCTCAAGTTTTTAAAAGCATCCTATACAGCAGACTGTTTTCACATTATCTTTCATGCACCCCCTTAGCATGACAATGCCACTACCACATTTGGGTATGGGGTAAGTTTTCTGCTAAATGTAGTGTTTTAACAGCTCTGCTAAGATGAAATACAAAAACAACAGTTTGATATTTAAAGAGGGGGAAAAACGGCCTTATCTACACAGAAATCAACCCTGATATTTTAGTTGCAGTGTTGGCAGATTAGAATATCACTAAACACTTTTCAATAAAATAAAAAACGTCAAACTGTACAGGTGTAAATAAAACAAGATAAAAAGGAAGGTCTTCATTTGCTTTGGAAGAGGATCAACCATCCTTGACAGTAATTAGCTTCCTGTTACTGCTGCAAAGTCTTTTACATCCCAGTGGATGGATTTTGGACCACCTCACTTTGCAGAATTGTTTTAATTCCCTAATTACATTTTAAAACTTAGATCACTGAAAAACGGTTATATTTGTGGGAAGCTAAAACTCGTTGACAGCCTAGCACGCATTCGTAGATCTTACTCTCCATATCTTCATCAAATCCATCACATGTCATTCCTCCCTCTGTTCCTTTCAGCAGAATTGAAATGTTATATCGCTCTCAACAGCCTGTACTGTATGGTGACGGATTGATATGCATCCAGCATGTAAGGAGAAGAGATGACAGAGTGCCTGGACTATGTGTGTGTGCACCTGCCACACACAGGCGGCCAAGACCGGGAGAGGCAGATGATGAAGATGAAGCTTAACAGGTCAAAATGAAGCCCACCTTCCCCTCCTCCGATTTACAAGTTATGGCCTCTTTCTCCTTCATTCCTCTGTCATTGAAAGAAGATTAGACGGAGCCGATTGCTTCAGACATCAAGAAGCAGACTCCGTCCCTGCTTCTCTTTCTCACACAGTCAACCCATGGTGGCTCCTATCCCTCCATCCACTCTCCCCCATCTCTTCTTTTCATCCCCCTTTATCTGGAACTTGTGAATGGCAGCCAATCACGGGGCAGAGTCGCCTCAGCCTCAGTGACATCCACTGGCAGGATTGATGCACTGCTGGGGGAAGAAAGAGAAGAGGAGGGCACTATGAGACGGGAGGAGATGATAGAAAGAAAGAAAGTGTGGAAGGAGAGAGGAGGAGGAGTAAGAGAGTGAGAGGAGGGAGTAGAGAAGCGAGACCCTCTCTCTCCTCCACACACAGAGTCCCATACACATTCGCAGCTGCTGTGCCGCTGTCAGTCCTGGAATGTAAGCACTGCCGTCAGGAGTCCGATTTTCCAACCACTAAGCACAGAGGAGGAGTACAAACCCAGCGGCGCTCACTCAGACATACAGATGGATGCTAAGCAGAGCGAAACCTAAGGTAAGAGGTTTATTTTCTCTTTCTTGCCTTTGATCTATGTTTTACATTTCATCTGCGTCTGGACTCTGGGGGGATGATCTGCTGTCACAGCGCAAGGAGCAGAATAAATGCATCACTGAGCTCTGGAAAGAACTTCAACCATTAATCACTCTAGATCAGAAGGAAAAATAGTCAAACTCCTCATAAATCAAAATTTCCTCCAGTTTTCAAGATCTATTTTTTATTTATTTTCAATTTCCAGCTGTTCCTTCCAATTAAGCTGATTCCTGTGACACCTGTCACTCATCCTAAGGTCTTCCAGTGTCAACTTGGCTTTGCATCTAACAAACCTCACCAGGCTGAGTGCCGGTGCGCCTATAGCAGGTGTTTGCACCTGTTTGAAGGCAGGCATGTGTGACTTTCTGAGTATGCATGAACATGTGAGAGAGTCTCCACGAAGCGCCCTGAATGGAGAGAGTCGCACTTGTGATGCGATTTGATGGAGAGGCGCTGTAGCGTTCATATCTCGGAAAAATACCTCAAGGTGTTTATCGTGGAGAGGGAAGGGACATGTGCTCCAAAGCGCAAACTTAATCCAACCTTGACCGGCTTGCAATTTTTTTTTTTTCCTTATCTCTCATTCGGTATAGGCACCAAAGTGATATATGGTGGCTTTTTCTGCACACAGATTCCTTGGTCAGCCATGCAACGCCGTTATAGCTTAGTGCAAATTAGCCTCTAATGTGCCCCTTAAATTATTCTCAAAAGGAGGCTGACCTTTTCAGCATTAAAATGAAAGAGGGTAGACATACATCTCCACTCTAATCAAGACGGCAGCCATGCTATACATTTTAAAGGATCAGATAAGAATGAGTCTAATAAAACCCCAGTATTTCTTTCCTCAGCTAAAAGTCAGTCCAATAAAAATGTCTCATTTTTTTCTAAAAAAAAATACATATATTTTGAATTTTACGCCCTGCTTTAATTGTCAAGACTCTTTTCAAGAAACACCCACCTCAGCCTCTTCCTTGCGAGGAAGTGTACACTGTATCACAAAATTGCTTTGAGGATCTCCAAACATGAGTAAAGCTCACAGAGGTCTGCCAAAGACTGCAGACTGGGCCCCGCTGCATTGGGAATGGTTAGGGCTCCACCAAGTGGAAGCTGGCGTATCTGCACCGGCACCCCCTCCCCACCAACACCCATCCCACCCCCTGATAGATTTACCCTCTGTCCGTGCAGGTCTGTCAAACAGCAGCAGGCAATCACAGGAGCCACTAAAACCGCCCATCAGATTGTAATAGTTTGGAGATCAAACCTTTATGTCATGTGCATGAATTATGTAAAACTATATAAATAAAAATACATTTTAAAAAGAAAGTCCAGGGTGACTTAAATGCAAAGCAGCATTATGACCTTGTCATCCACTCCCCCCTTTTTCTCAGTCTGATGAGAGACCTTCACTGCTGAGCGGTTCGATTGCACCCCATAATGCTCGATTTGAAATAGCCAGCAGTTTCAAATGGTGCGTAGGAGGTTTTGGATTGTTGACACTTAATTATATGGTCCAACCCTTATGTAACACTGCACCTGCTAATAAATAGATCTATATATACGGGTATTTATAGCCCAATTTAGAGAAAAAAAATAGGAAATTCCAGTAGGCATATGAGATTATATGAAACAGCCGTATTTTCAACAGTCTGTTATTCATATGGGAGATATTTCTGGTTTGCCGCCCAGTATCATTGATCATTGCCTCTGGTAAAATAGCTGTATATTTAAAAAGGGTAAAGGAACTTCTTAATGTTAAATAATGAATATGAACACTAAAGGAAATACATGTATGGAAGAAATTAACTTTATTCTTCAATCGCCTAATGAGAAGTTCAAAAAAAATTGGAGGAAAAGGGCAAACTGGTTTAAAAATGATACAGCATTAACATCCAGTATTTTTAGTGGGTGAAGTTGGATGTTAATGAGCATCTTTGCACCTTTTTGCCCTATAGATGATTAAGATGTAGTTCATGTTATGACAGAAGGAAAAAAAAATACTGACAAACTACTTTTTAAAATAAAAACTGAAACCTTTAGCTGTCGTGTAATCATAATCCTAAAATGTCTTTTTGTACATTTTTTAAATAATCAATAAAATATATTAGACGTGTTAACTATACAAAGGCACGGAGGTCTCAGGACTTGATGTATCATAAAGGATGCTTGTCACTGAAGGAATGAACTTGTTCTTTGTTAAAAACAAATTATTCATACCCCTAGAAGATTTAGGTTTTAAGTTATCTTTTAATTGGATCGGCATGTGTCTTCTGACTGGAAACAATGTTGTAGAGATGCTCGGCTAGAAGCCCGACTTTAATCTGAGAATCCTTGGAGGAAGTTAAAGATCGGGGTGATGGTGAGGAACCCTACGAACTTCAAAGAATCGGAGCTCATCGCTAAAAAACCTTTTTTTAACTATTTGTGGAAGCTTGTTAGAAATTATTTAAAAAATTGTTTTGAAAAAAAATAATTTATTTGATTAGGCATCCCATCTTTCAATTGTTTTAATAATCTTTTTAGAAATTCCTGTCTTTGCCTATCTCTCTGAATCTGCCAGCAATATGAATACATTTGGGCTGAACTGTATACATTATACGCTTCTAAAACTCTAATGCAAGCTTACCTCCAGAGCATACTGCAGCTATAATTATTGTCCTCCTCGAGTTAGAGAATCCACAAAAGTGCTTAGTTGCAGAGCTCAGTTAAGGGTTTTTCTCTGGAAGCTTGCACGTTCATTTTTTAGGGCAGCGTGTCCATGAAAATTCATACAAACCAATGTTGCAAAGGCTGCGCTTTTTCTTTTTTTTTCCTCCCAGGAAGCAGATCCTGACGAACAGCTAGTTTGTCTCTGATCAAAGATGTTCTTATTCAGCAAAACAAGAATGTATAATTTGCAGATTAAAGCTATGTAGCACGGGGAAGTTGTTGCCAGCCAGTCGATATGTGTAGTTGCCAAGATTAAGAGAAAACACTCTGAGACAGCCACTCATAAAAGCATATTAAACAATTCGGTCCTTCCACATCCGTGTGTGTTGTAGTGCCAAGCCGTATAAGCTCCCTACAAGTTAATCTAGTCATAAACAATTTCTTTTAATGCGTCCCGCTTTTTTAATGGGCTGAATAAGTCGAGATAATTCAGCTCGAGCCTATAGGATCTGGCGTGGATTCAGCATGCTCATTCATCCTTTAATGGAGTGTTTGGAAGAATTTTGAAAAAGAAACACTGGTCTAATGCTTAATAGGCATGCCACATCAAAGATTAATATCCAGAATGCTATTAAAATCTCAAGGACGGGCGGGAATGATAATTAGAAAATGCAATCACAAGCGTCAGGCTGGATTAATTGCAAGGCGGGCGTTTCCCCTCATTTCAGCAGCGTCTGTGTTACGCTTATGTCACATTTTATACCTACAGTGAACTCCAGTTGGCATGATTACAACTTTAACTCCTTTTAATGTTTAACACTTTGTACTGGATGCGTGATGCTTACTACTAGAAACTGTTTAAGTCCTGAACTATACAGGAAAAAATGTCACAGTCAAGTCAGTTAATCTGGTTTTTAAATCAGTGGCATGATAATGCTTTTTGTTTCAGTGGCAAGTGAGTGATAAATATATAGAAAGCCAAACGGATAGTGTGGGTTACAAACTTGCATACGGTCATCATCATCAGGGATTTTAAAGTTAGATTTGGCTAGAACTTATTCCAAATTGAAATCATACAACTTAAATTAGGGCTTTAAAAATGTGATTCACCTGCAGTACCTTCCCACTTCTAAAACCATGGAACTGAATGATTTGTTTATTTTATTTTTCTGTTATCGACAGACAGCAATCATTATTTTCATAAAACATGGAACATATATCAAATGTTAGGCAATACTGGTGGGAGTATTATGATTTGGTCATGTCCTCTTGATAGTGCTACTGGGACACGGATTGAAGTGCCTCGGTACAGTGCATTGAGATGATGTGTTGTAAATTGGTGCTAACTTGATAAAGTGAACAACAACAACGTGAATATACAACATTCTCAATGACACAAGGAAATAAATCAAATTTCCGTACAAAAGTAATCTGTATCTGTCACTGCATGCATAAAAAAGTTCTCATCGGTTTGCCTAGTTACGAATAGGAAATAAATAAGCAGCATCCTATGTCAGGTTGGCTTTTTTCGTACTGGATATTTCTGGGTCTATTTTCATCAACAGGAGCAGGACATGATTCACTATTGCTCTATTTAGGCAAATTTATCCAACAAGGCTGTTAAGACTGGTTTTTAGGGAAAGTCACTGAGTGTTTCTGCCCTGTTTACTGTCAAACTAAATATAAAACAACAACAAAAAAGCCTTGCATGTAGTATTGACATCAGATTTTTTATATTATCTTTGCAACAGTAAAAAATACACTAGCATCTCTCTCTCTCTTAGACTAAGCTGGCAAACAAATTCATACCACTCATGAATTTTGATTAAGGGCCAGACAAAATACTCCCTGAGGGGTCAATAATGCCCCCCCTGGCCTCTATTTGTACATGGCCGATTTAAATACACTCTAATTCTGGAATTTATGCATTTGAATTCTAACTCTAGTACATATAGATTGCTAAAAATGAAATAGTAAAATGATTAGATTTTATTTTAAGCTGTACTGACTTTCTCCTGCAACTATCTCCTGAGGGACATCAGCTCTTGTTTAAATCTCCAAACAAAGGAAGAGAAGCCTCCCCTGAGGTACATGATGAATCCTTGTTTTTAATCAGCAGTAAGAATAAAGGCTTCCAAAGAGTTGGGCACACTTGTGTCCTCAGACGTACCCGCAACTTAGTGCAGACTCAAGACACACATCCTTTTGCGCAATGTTCAATCTTTATCCACATATGCAGTATTACATGTAAACTATTTGGAGGGAAAGTCATGCTTTGTCTAAACTGTTACAATCATTCAATGAAAAATACCAATTTCATCCTGCGACCATCAAAGCTGATTAGCCAGTTCTTGTGCAAACTGTAAGTAAAAGTGAAGGAACTGACTTATATATGTCATTACTATAACATACCCAGAGACATTCAATGCCTTTCAGGATAATTCTACTACTTCTGCTTTCACAAATGGCTTTAAAGGAAAGAGAAAGATTTATTAGGATTAACTCCCAAAAGACAGTAAATTATGCATGCACACCCAAATTACCTGTCAGGGGCCATTCCTGCTGGGGATACAGCCTTATACTGAGGTCTGGAAGGAAGACTGCCAATGACAGAAAACAGCTTATCTGCAAACACAAGCTTAACCTGTACCTGAGGGTTAATTTTTATATTTTAGCCATTACAATCACACTGTTTTCTATATGAGTTCAGTTATAGTGGCTCTAAAATTAAACAGTTTTCCCAACAATTCAAGAAGCATCTAAAAACTGTGAGGGATTTTGAAAAGGGGGTAAAGATAAAAAAGAAAAAAATGACTGACTTCCTCTGGACAACACACAATCTATTTTCGCCTGTTTTGGAAGCTAGAGTTTGAAACAATGCATACAAATATAATTATAAACCTAAGGTTGGGTTGCGATTGTAGCTTCCAATTTGGAAAACAGCTAACGAGCAATTCCACTTCATTCTTTATCACCATGAGCATTTCAAACCCCTAAACTAAAATAAAAAAAAGACCTAAAATACATCTCCAAACCTAATTTTGTTCTTGAGCTATTGGGAGTAGATTTATAAGCCTGGTGTCTTTGTTAAGGTAGCACTTATTCATTTATTTAAGTGAGCAGTCCAAGTTGTTGTACTGTTAAACTGTGTTTACTTAATGAATGCAATGTTTAGAAGTACGAAATACACTCCGACAGGATAACAGAGTCCTCATTAGAATTAAGTGGTGGATTTCCTCTACTTAACAAAATAGTGAAACTCTTCAAAACTTTAGAACAGTAACATCAGAATTCTTCAAACACATCTTTATGATTAGTGAAATGTTAATTTGATTTCGGAAATTTTAGTAAAGGCCATATGAGAGCCATGCGAAATTGCTATTATAATGTTGTGTAAATAAAGAAATAAAAATCTGCGTCTATTGAGCTTTTACAAATCAAATGAAGGATTCACGAATAGCAAACTGGGTTTAAAATATTTTATTATTGTTGCCTAATCTATTATTGACGAGTCTATCAAGTTTATTTTTTGAGTTGGAGCAGTTCTGTTGTGGTCTGAATGCAAAAAAGAACCAATATGGTCTTTTATTAATACATTAATTTCAATTCAATTCTGCTTATTTATATAGCACCCAGTGGCGGCTGGTGAAAAATATTTTTGGTGGGGCTGATATAGCCTAGTGTATGTCTCCAACTAATCCGGAATAAGAATTCAAATAAACAATTGGACAATACATACAATTTAACAGTAATGATTTAATTTACTATATAATAACAGTAACAGTGATGATTTGGGTCACTGTGACGGGGTTCTTTGGCCTCCAAGAATCCAGGCTCAGTCGGGTTACCGGTGTTGGTGATTTATTGAGCTCAAAAACTCAAAACAGGGGGCAAAAGAAACTAAACATATACAAGATACTCTGGGCCTCAGCCTCCCTCCAGTTACCAGCAATGTAACAAAGAAACAGAAAACAAAAATTGCCGCTTTTCTTCCCACAGCCCTCATTAAATAGTTTAAGCCCCTCATCTCAGGCTCTCTTATTTCTGATTTCTTCTCATTAATCAGTTTTGTCCATATATTACCTCCACAAACAATTGATGTACAAAAACAAACAAATAATTTTTAAAACTTAATTCTTTTACACAGATTCATTGACTTATTCAATTACACCAAACTGGGTTTGAACCCAGCAAAGACGCAGCCAGACTGAAGATGACAAGTCCCCATAGCATAAACACGTACACACCCACACCCCCCCACACACACACACACACACACACACACACACACACACACACACACACACACGGCTAACCCCACTGAAATATTAAGTGTGCACCCTCAATATGCCAGCAGGTAACCAGGAACAGCTTGTGTGTTTTAAGTTCATGGAGCTACTGGTCTCAGCGCGAGTGTATTGGTCCTCACAAACACAGTATAACAGGAATGTGTGTGTGGCGCGCAAAGTTAGAGAGGTTGTTTTAAGCGACGAGGTGGATTCGTCACAGTCACAATAACCATGACATGAAATGTTCATATCCTACAACAGGGATGTTCTTCTGGCAAACGGGTAGATAAATAAGGATCTCACCGAATTTGGTGGAAGCTGCATCTCGTTCGTTACATTCGCCATCGTCCCTCTCATTGTGTGCACCTGTGCTTGGGTGCAGAAGCCTGTTAAAGGGCAGTATTTTCAGCACCCCAAGACCATAAAGTTCTGAGACGCTGATTGGCCATTAAATTCACCTAGCAATAGTACATGATTGACAGATTCTCTGCAAATGTGGGGCTGTCTGATCACAGCCCCCAGAACAGAGACGGTAGGAGTCTGTCTGTGGAAATCCACAAATTAATGACAGTAGATAGGGAAATGTAGTTTATTTAATTTGTTTTGCTTATAGGTACACACTCTAGAGAGTAAAACTGACATTTATGAGTTAATTTCTAAAAATATATTTTACGTTTCTCTCTTCTTATCAGGGAGGGCGGTGCCCCAGCGCCCCCTATGGGCCGGCCGCCACTGATAGCACCAATTCACAACACATGTCATCTCAAGGCACTTTACAATTCACCAGATCATTCAGTCAGATTGATTCATAGTTGAGAAAAGAGACACACAGACAAGTAACTCCCGAATGAACGAAACACCAAACAACACCGTTAAAAACACAATAAGAACTTAAACATTCAAGGTGACCAACATTAGATGATTGCAGTGAGACAGAGTACTTTAAGTTTGCTCTGTCAGCGGTGTATGTTGCGACTTAGTTTAAGAGATTTAATCACAGCCCACAAGCAAGGTATGAGGTGATGGCATTCTACTCCCCTGATCTAGGCATCCCAATATCAGTGTTACAGTTTTGTAAAAAAAATTTTCTAGCAAGTGAGTGCATTAGGAATTAACATGAAGTAAACAGACGTAGGGCCACTATATGAATAAAAACCTAAGCAAAATAAGCTAGAGTATATTCAGTCAATCATCGTTATAAGTATTTCTATTTTCTAAAATTGCAAAAAGTTTTCCCATAACTTTTTGAACACACAAGATTTACTCTTAATTTTAAAAAAAAGTGACATCATTTTTTATTTAAGGGGGATTGCAGATAGTCAACTAATTGAAAAATTAGTTGTCTCCTAAATCAAAAGCCTAAGAAGCCATATTTGGCTTCAAAATGCTGTTTGTTTAGGAAACGTCGGGGTTGTGTCCAGGTTAAGTTTACCTTCCCCAGATGGAGATGCCTCTCTAAGGCATTTGACCACATCTGTGGCCAAACGCCGCTAATAATTAGTTATGCGCTTTTTTCTGTTATTATTCAGACATAATTAATTTAAAATATTGCCTACCAAGAGGTGAACATATTTTGACAACTTTCCCAGTTTTTCTTTATGGAAGGTTGGCATTAATAAAAAAAATAAAAAAAATGCAACTACAGTAAGTGAAGCATCTGTAAAATGCAATTTATATGTGCTACATGTATTACCAAAGACATACAGCCGACATTTTCATGTGATGAAAAATATACCCTTACCTAGGCGTGTAAACCATGTTTGAATACATTTTCCATTTATTTAAGTTTTACTCTGAGTACATTTGAATTTAGACAAGATTCTAGTATCAGATTAGAAACTTTAAGGCTTTACACCTCATACATAAATCATGCAAGAGACATTTTTTTTTCTTGGTTTTGTCATATTTTGTCTGGCTTCTGATTTTATGAAGCACAAACTGATGGTATGATAGAATATATTTGCTCAAGCTTATGGATAGTAGAGCATTCTCATGCTGTTATCTGTTTTTTTTCTTTCAAGCAAAGGTTTTAAGAGAACCGTGAAGTGAAAAGATGCGCAGACTAACTGCAGTTTTCTCTCTTCACAGAATCCTAAAGGACACAAGTGAAGGGGAATACAATGCCTGTTCTGACAAGGCTACCTTCCAGTGTTTACCCTTTTAGAAGCTTATTTCCATAATCACAAGTCATTCCGGACATTTTCCTACTGACTGGATACCATGATAGGCAATCAGGCTCTGCTCCTATTGATGCTCTATTTCTTGTGGCCCAGTACTGCTCTTCCTTTCATTCCTGGGAATATTGGGAATCTGTTTGGGATGCCAGAGAGTGACGGGAAGGTTCTTCAACGTTCCAAACGGGGATGGATGTGGAATCAATTCTTTCTGCTCGAGGAGTACGCGGGAAATGACCATCAATATGTTGGCAAGGTAAGCTGTCCAAGTGCATTGTCTGCAGACTAATTATAGCTGGTTTAGCTTGTTGGGGAAGTGTTTGATGTAATTGGTTGGAGATGGATGGGCTGCCAGAAGTCTGATTGTTACGGGCAGAGCTAACAGGAGCAATCAGATCCACATGAGTGCATACAAATGGTCTGTCTCCTCTGCCTTCCAATGTACTCCTAATCCAGTGCTAAAATGTACAGTTATACCTAAAATCAAACTTCCATTGATTCCTCACTGGGAGGCTGCCATCAAAGGTGAACACTGAGGAACATCATCTCGTATCAACTATCCATTAACCTTAGGATATTAAAATAGCAGTTGAACAATAGTTACACATTAATATATACTGTACAACTTAATAGGATAAAAATGTATACCTCTGTTTAAAAATGGGTGCTTGACAATTATTTGCAATGTTGTAACCATTAACTTCACATACAAACATATTCATACCATGCCAACTTCTTGTTTTTTCATTATACTTACACTATATTGCCAAAAGTATTTGCTCACCCATCCAAATTATTGGAATCAGGTGTTCCAATCACTTCCATGGCCACAGGTGTATAAATTCAAGCACCTAGGCATGCAGACTGTTTTTACAAACATTTGTGAAAGAATGGGTCGCTCTCAGGAGCTCAGTGAATTCCAGCGTGGAACTGTGATAGGATGCCACCTGTGCAACAAATCCAGTCGTGAAATTTCCTCGCTCCTAAATATTCCACAGTCAACTGTCAGCTGTATTATAAGAAAATGGAAGTGTTTGGGAACGACAGCAACTCAGCCACGAAGAGGTAGGCCACGTAAACTGACGGAGCGGGGTCAGCGGATGCTGACGCGCATAGTGCGAAGAGGTCGCCAACTTTCTGCAGAGTCAATCACTACAGACCTCCAAACTTCATGTGGCCTTCAGATTAGCTCAAGAACAGTGCGCAGAGAGCTTCATGGAATGGGTTTCCATGGTCGAGCAGCTGCATCCAAGCCATACATCACCAAGTGCAATGCAAAGCGTCGGATGCGGTGGTGTAAAGCACGCCGCCACTGGACTCTAGAGCAGTGGAGACGCGTTCTCTGGAGTGACGAATCGCGCTTCTCCATCTGGCAATCTGATGGACGGGTCTGGGTTTGGCGGTTGCCAGGAGAACGGTACTTGTCTGACTGCATTGTGCCAAGTGTAAAGTTTGGTGGAGGGGGGATTATGGTGTGAGGTTGTTTTTCAGGAGCTGGGCTTGGCCCCTTAGTTCCAGTGAAAGGAACTCTGAATGCTTCAGCATACCAAGACATTTTGGACAATTCCATGCTCCCAACTTTGTGGGAACAGTTTGGAGCTGGCCCCTTCCTCTTCCAACATGACTGTGCACCAGTGCACAAAGCAAGGTCCATAAAGACATGGATGACAGAGTCTGGTGTGGATGAACTTGACTGGCCTGCACAGAGTCCTGACCTCAACCCGATAGAACACCTTTGGGATGAATTAGAGCGGAGACTGAGAGCCAGGCCTTCTCGTCCAACATCAGTGTGCGACCTCACAAATGCGCTTCTGGAAGAATGGTCAAAAATTCCCATAAACACACTCCTAAACCTTGTGGACAGCCTTCCCAGAAGAGTTGAAGCTGTTCTAGCTGCAAAGGGTGGACCGACGTCATATTGAACCCTATGGATTAGGAACGGGATGTCACTTAAGCTCATATGTGAGTCAAGGCAGGTGAGCAAATACTTTTGGCAATATAGTGTATATTTAAATGTCTTTACTCTGATACCCTAAATTAAACTCTAGAAATTTACACTTGCTTGACTCATGTCTCATATGTTAAAACATCAGTGAACAACATCATGAACACCAATGAAGAGAGCAGACAGGTCAAGTAGAAAGATGTGACATATTAAAGGTATGGTGGAGGATGTTCTTTTTCCGGCTGGATCATCACAATAAGTGGTCCTCCTAATTGTCAATCATTCTGGTGATATGTTGACATAAGTCAGTCCTACGTGCTCATCCCCATTTTCACTTACTGATGTTGAGTCTGACAAAGTGGAAAAATTGCAATTCTTCTTTTGGAAAGTAAGCTTGTGTGAGCAATGCAAATGGCAACTTTTAAACAGAGCACGAGGAGAAATTGGCTTTTGCACGCTCTCGCACATGTTTAATAGATGTTCCCTCTCATGAGTGGGTACAGTGTTAAGCATGTGCATTTTTTTTTTTGAGTGGAGAGAATGGGTCAGGCAGTGGGAAAGTTCAAAGAGTTTATGATAAGCAAACAGGAGTGCAGGGCTGCTCGTCAGCTGAGGGGCGGATCTCTGCAGAGATAGATTACAGGTCAGTGACTGGATGTGCAGTTGAATATGACTAGGAGCAAAGTCACTGACCTGATTCAAAGTTCAGTCCGTTGACGAAGAACACATTTGAATCCGAACGGGCAGTTTAGACCACAGTAGCGGCGGGCGTCGCCCCACAGAGTTCCTAGAGAGCAAGCGCCAGCCAACGCAGAGCAGCAACCGAGTCCAAAGGGGAAATCCAAGGCCGAAGTCAGACGAAGAGTCCAGGTTCAGAAGCCGGTAGAATCCAGGAATCAGTTTGAAACAGATCAGACAAACAGAGCAGACGGGGGCAAAGCAAAACTCGAGATCTTCAGGGCAGAAACTGGTCATAACCAGAAAAAAAGAACAGGCTAAAGAATGCTAGAGTTTGTCTCACCAAAACACTCGAATAACCAAGCGCAGATGGGAGGCAAACACACAACATAAATAGCAGAGGAACTAGGTGGAAAAGATCGGCGTTAATCAGCCGCAGAACCAATTAGACAGGGGAGCAATAAGGAAAGGAAAAAAACAAACCATTAGCACCAAGATCATGACACTATTATACCTTTAAGTGAAGTTTGATCAGAATCAGAAAAAAATACCTTGAAGCTCTGAACATTTGACAGAGCTGTATTCAATTCATAGGTTAGACAGAGTCATGGAACAGCAGCAGACATTGCTTCCTACCTGAACTGACAGGCTGAGTGACAGAGTATTATTTAGGGTACTTTCAGAGTGTAGGTCCTGATGCTGTTTTCCTTTTTCTGAAATCTCATTTTCTTTTGTTGTTTAGGTCATTAACAATACTTTTACAATGTTCCCTTCATTTGGTGACATTATGATCTTTTTGTGGCTCCGAACTAACCCACATGTGATTAACTGCAATAAGAATGCAAACAGAGTGGTAGGTTGTCAACAACTTCACAAAGACTATGCTAACCATACATCAGCTCCATTTCTCCCTCACCCTAAGGCAGGACACTCATTGCGATCTATTTTATAGCATTGCAACAAGGACAGATTACCACCCACTTAGTTTCCTTTTAGCAATGCAAACTCCTCTGTTTGCAGGAGCGTGTGTAAACTTTGCATGGCCGTTAGCTACATCACTCATTCAAATGATTTATGTGCAACCCTTCCAGTTTGACTTGAAGGTTTCCCTTGATATATTAATGAGGTCTAACATCTCGCTGTCCCTCCACTCAGCAGTGCTGTCACAGCTGCCGTCTAGCTTTATGAAAGCTATTACTGCTGGCCAATGCCGGCGCAAAGTTGTAAAAGATGTCAATGGAAAATGACGTCAAGTTACATCAAATCCTCCTGTGTTTTTTTCAGTGGAGTCACATTTAAAAAAGATAAGACTAAAATCAGATTAAGGATCATATTTGTTAAAAAAAAAAAGAAGTGACCTTGTACCCTGATCCTAGAAACACACCACCTGCAAAAAACAAAAATAAGGTGTAGGTTCATCTCAACCCTTAAAAGAAACCTAAATATAGGGAGAAGAGGTTTAGATCAAAAAATATCAATGCATTAGATGTCCCTGTCAAAGTCTCCACCTACATTCCATGAAAAAAAATTTGTCACAATTTAAAAATGTGTGTTCAGAAATTCTCTCCTTTCAATCAGGTCATTATTCAAGGGTTTTTGAAAAGAGAACATGCTTAAGGATTTTAGTTTCTAGCAGTTTTATAAATTATTTGAAAAAACAAAACTAAGTCATCTCCCATCGACTTTACAACTACACATGTTGGTATTTTGATAAAATCTGAAGAAATACAGTCAAGTTTATGGATGTATTGAGAGAAAAAGTGTTCAGCAAGTTCATTAAAACCCTTTTAAAAGGTGGTCAGTTTTTTCAAAACAGGAAACGCAAAGGTACTTATCACATACCTATGTATGTGAGATTTAGGAAAAAAAATTTACCTAATTTGCCCATATGTAGTCGAAGCAATAATTAAAGAAAATTTGCAACCAGAACTTTGACAAACAGGATTGAAGACGGTCCTGGGTTTAACTTTTCATCAAATACAACAACCCAAACACCAGACGTCATTTAGACATTGGCTTTTGGGCTGAATATTGTTGACCCATCATAGTCCAGAAATGATTTTTTCCCACCTTAGTCCAATAGTAGATCTGAAAATTACAGCTTTTCACTTTTCAGCCAAATGTAGATGTCGTTTGGACGTAATTCATGTCGTCTTTTCAATGTCCGTTCAACCAATGTTTGGTCAGTGGGAATGATGAAGAGGACGATAAGAGTTTGTTATGAAAACACATTAAATGGGACACATACCTGACATAAGCTTTGGGCATAAATGGGAATTTATTTTGATACCGAACTTCAGAACAACAATGGTTTGGAGAGATTTTGGCACTCTTCATATCCAGTCCCAGAGAGATCAGAGTGGTTCCCGTCAGCTTGTCGGCGCACCGTAAAGGCAGGATGGTAGAACGGCGCCGTTATCAACTCAGAGGGAAATGAGGTGACTGTCAACACCCAATTTTCCCAGAAGAAGGCTTGCTTTCATCAGGCACCTCAGTCTCTGGAGAAAACAAGTGTCTGGTGAAAGGGTTGGTTGGGGTGGGAGTGTGGGGGAGCTGGAGGGGCTGATAACTTCCTCTGCAGAAACCATCATCCAGATGAGGTGTGAGGAGAAAGGTGCAGCGTATATAAAACA